GCTATGCGAGAAATAGGATGAACCAACAAGAGCTGCACAGGCGGGTCAGGAAAATGGTTAGAGAGAAGACGAGGTTTAAACTGGATCTTCAAGGATGGATAGAAGGTTGAGAAAAGTGAAGTGGGAGGAAAAGGCAATTCTAGGTAGAGGAAACTGCATGTGCTAAACTTGGAATCTTATCCAGTAAATATTGAGCTATCTTACGCAATATAAGTGTGTGGGTTTTGGCTTGGACGTGTGAGGGGAATGGAGGAGGACTGGCTAGGGGCAAAGAGTGGAGAGATTACGTGCCGTGCGAACACATTTGACCTGAATTGTTAGAATTTTAAGGCAGGAAAATGATATGGCTGATTTCTAAGCTAATTCTTGTTAAAGCATGGGACATGTGGTGAACGGAAGATGGGTGTGTAAAACTAGAGGCCGGGATGTCATTTGTTAGATGTTGCAAGCCCAAATGAGAAATTATGAATCTGTATGTGGCCCTGATATATTGGCTTTGAATAAATATTCTGCCAAATAATGTTTTCCTGTTTTTTAAAAAATATTTTCAAACTGTTACTCTTATAATTGTATTTATTTCTGTATTCTAGAAATGTTTTAAAATCAAGATGAAAAACTGGCATATGTAACACAGCCCCTCAAGGATAATTAGCTGGAACTCCTAACATCTCCCTGCATTTGTTATACTCCTAATTTTAACTGGAAATATTCTCATAACTGTAGAAAAATAGTTGTATGGATGTAGTCACCCTCCCAGCAACCTAAATTTTGAATCATCCAAAGAATGTTAATATTTTATTCATTGAGACAGTTCATATAGACCTGGAAAGGGAGGCTGGTGTATAGTAGACCAAGTATTGAGCTGAGAACCGAAGTGTGAATTCTGGTAATAGGATCAACATTAATTGGCTCTGTGGTGGTAGATAAATCGTTTCACCTCACTCTGGCTACTAGTGTTTTAATTCCTTCATTTCCCACCAATTATTTTTTTCTGTATCCAATGTAGATCCCCTTGGCCTTCATGTATCCACCTTTTGCATACTACTCTCAATTCCTGTGGCCTAAAAACTGCCAAACCACACAATATAGAGTTCCAATGTAGGATCTCCCCTCAAATTTCTGTTCTCACAAACCAAGCCTTATCTCAACATTCACTTAGAATTTCTTCCATTATGTTAGTCTCAGAGAATTTTGCTCCCAAGATAACCTCTCTCCCTGCTTTTAGTAACTGTTCTCTCTCCTTTTCAGAATTTGGGACCCATCAATTATTAATTTGTTTTTGCTATCTTTGTATCAATTAAGAGACTAAATTATGATGTGGTAACAAATAACTCCAATCTATCACACTGGTTTAGGCGAACAAAGTTTTTGTTAGCATCTATGCCCATTTAAGACCAGCTGGGGGCACTGTTCAAGTTCTCCTGGCTTTAATAAACCCCTGCATGACAGAGCAGCCAACATGAGAAATATTGCCTCTCTTCACAGGAGAGGGAAACAGAAGTTGGCAAAGCCACATTGGTCCTTAAAGCTGAAGCCTGGAAAGAACATACATTACTTCTGCATATAATTACTAGAACCCAGAGCAAGTCACATAACCAGAGTTAACCTCAAATAGGCTTTGTGTCCACAAGATAGAGAATTAGGATATTTGGGAACAAGCTAATGATACCATACTCTTCTTATCTCCTTTCCTTTCACACACAGACATTTTCAGATCTCTTCCTTATTCAAACAAGCATGCACACAAACGAAACTGTTAATTTTCCTCTTTGAGACTCTCCTCTTCCAGTTTTTCACACTCTCTTTAGCTCATCATACTGAAAATATGATGTCTATTAGCCTACTTCGAATGCTTTAATTATTGTATTAGTTTCCTTGGGCTGCTGTAACAAAATACCGCAGACTTGGTGGCCTAAACAACAGAAGTTAATTTTCTCACAGTTATGAAGACTAGCAGTCTAGGATCAAGGTGTTGACAGGTTTGGTTTCTCCTGGGGCTTCTCTCCTTGGCTTGCAGATGGCCACCTTCTCACTGTGTCCTCACATGGCCTTTTCTGTGTGCATGTGTACCCCTGGCATGCCTTCTCATTAAGATGTCAGTCATATCAGAGTAGGACCCACCCATGTGACCTCATTTAAGCTTACTTACCTCTGTAAAGGCCCTGTCTTCAAATACAGTCGCATTGAGGATTAGGGCTTTAGCATATGAATTTTATGAGAACACAAGTCGGTTTATAACAATTATGGTCACCACGTATAAAAAAAAAACATTTTCAGTATTTTCGTTATCCTCTCTTAATAGCATTTTGTACTGTGGAGACTCTAACTTCAGATTCCCTCATTCTTTAGTTTTCATTGCTCTCTGACATTAAAGTTTTTCTTCTTTTGCTCTTTCTACTTCTGAGTCCCTTTGGCTGATTGCATATTATTTGCCTGAGAGATTTCATTTATATTCACGACTTCGGTCACCACCTCTATAGTTGCTAAATCTTACATCACATGTCTAGTGCCCTGAATTCCAAGGTCACATATCTAAAAGCAAACCTCCGTGGTGTTATGGTTTTTGAACCAGTAGTTTCAGCATCATTTGAGCGCTTCCTTGAAATGTAGACTCTTGGGCCCTCCCCCAGAACTGCTAAATCTGAATCCACATTTTGGTAGGATCCCCAGATGATGTTCCTCATATTAAGCTTGTAAGTAATCTTCCATTTGATTTCTCTTTCTGAATATTCCAAAGAAATCTCAAACTGAACATATTGAGAATGGAGTTAATTATTAATTAGCTTTCACTCATTAACTCAATAACTATTTATCGAGCTTGCCATATACCTCCACCACTGCTTTAAGATCGACAGTGGTGAACAAAACAAACCAAAAAAAAAAATCCCTCTCTGCCTGAGTCTTTTATTCTAGAGCTGGAGGCAGATAAAAAAAAAAAAAACAATAAAACTTAATAACTAATTACATAGTATATACTAAAATAGAAAGTGGTATGTACAAAGATGACAGTATTGAATAGGGTAAGGATAGTGTGGATTAAGAAGGTGATATTTCCCTTTATTTTTTATCCCAGCGAATGACTACGACCTCCTCAGGAAGTGTGTTTAAGAAGTTTCCTTAAAAGTTTTACCTTACCTGTCAATTCTAGATTCCTAGCATCTTTCAAATCTATCAGTTTTCATGATGCTCACTGACACGCATTTTTTTTTTTTACATCCTTGTATTTTCTTCCTCTGAAAACACGATATTCTTTCCTCTTTATCCTTGCTTATTTTGGTTTTGTTGTTGTTTGCTTGTTTCTTTCTTTGTGTAGAATACTAAAGTAATACCTTATTTTGTAAATATTTTCTGATTCCTTCTTTGTCCTCAAATGTGGCACTATTAATACTATATTATTATTGTAGATTTTCACCAGAATGTGCATTCTTAGAAGGCAGGAACTGTCTAGTTTAGCTCTGAATTCCTAGTGCCAAATCAGGGCTTGGTACTTAGTAATGTTCCCTATTCTATGGCAAATAATTGATAGTGGATGATTTATAGAATAAGTGGGAATCTTCTAGGATACAATCCTTTTAGAGAGAATGTGTGCAAAGGCACAAAGGTGTGTTTGAGGAACAGCAAGTATCTCCCTTTTGTGGGACCCTAAAGTATGATTTAGGGTGCTGCTGAAATTGAAATGAGAGGGTACCTTAGATGTCTTTCCTAGAAATTTGGATTTCATGCTGTAGAGAATGGAGAGCCATTGATAATTTTAACCAAGTGAGTGATGTAATCTGTGGAATATCAAATTTGAATTTTAAAAGATGGCTTTTGTGGAGGATGGGAGGTGACTGTTAGAGAAAAAGATTGGAGATATGTAATCCTAGTGTAATAATTCCAAAGAGAAATGATAGAGCTTGGACTAAGCAATTGGAGTAGCACTGGGAAAGGAGACTGCAAAAGAAAAATGTAAAGCTTTCTCCATTATGATCTATTGGTTGCGAAGGAATAAATGAAACAAGGGTTCCATTAACCAAAATTGGAATAGAAGGTTTGGGTTTCATAACAAAATATGTATTTAGTTTTACACTATCAATTTGGAGGTCTCAACGTTCCAGCCGTTTGTGACAGGCGTCTTCATTTCTAGGAGACGCTTTGATTCCACATAGTAGTCTTGTATAGTGAATAGGGTCAGGACACTATTCACTACATCTTTCTATTCATTGAACTCCACCTCTGTAGGAAAGAACCAATCAGCTCCATCACTTTTGTTTTAGTAGCTGCAACATGAGAATCGTATTTATTCTTGCACCCCAGTCAGTAGCGATATAGCGTCATCAAGGGAAATATTTTCTAGTAGAGAAAACTGACTTAACATATAAATAAGTAGTTACTGTGCTAGCGAGGAAACAAAACTTTTTTAAAAAATCGAGCGTGAGATTTGAGTCAAATTTATGCTTTCTGTGACCATTTTGTTATAATTTGTCTGGTTAAGCTTTGTTAAAAATTTGATTAAATACTCACCAAACACTTGCCGTGGGAAATCCTCCTGATCTCTGTGATTTCAGATGCTGCATATTTGAAAATTACAGTTATCCTTCCTACAGATTAATGGTTATTTACAATTCCAGCAGGTCTCAAAAATAAAATTGTTCTTTGAACACCAGTAAGAGAGAGAAGTATAAAATTAATGCAGTTGAACATTGGTGCTGTGAAAATAATATTTATTTTTTCAATTGGTCATTTCAGCTATAATATATAACCAACACTCCTATTTGATCTCATTTCTAAAGAAATTATATTTTTAAATTTCAGTGGAGGATACAATTTCATAATTGCTACATTTCAACCAATCATGCCAAGAATTCTGAAGTTTGCTTTCCTTCCAGTATTTCCTATTCCTACCCTTCTATTCTAGTCCAGAAATGATCTCCTCTGTACCAAGCTAGTGGCATTTTTGATGGATTTTTGGTTGTAATTGTTTTCTTTGTTTTGTTTTTGTTTTTTTTTTCTCCATTCAGAGAATTTATCAACAGCCTTCGACTTCATAGGACATTTTATGGAGCCCTGGCTGATCAGCTTTGTGTTAATGACTTAGCTGCTGCTGATGGACTGCCGTGCTGGAATGGAGAAGATATAGTAAAAAGGTATTTTATGTCTAGTGGTCTGTGAAAATATGATGGCTGCTTTCATTCATGCTTTCTTTTCCCAGATCTTGAATGAATTACTCCAGTTGAAATTTTGTCACACAGGTGAGATTATAGATTAATTCTGTCTCTTTAGTTTATTAAAAATAAATATGATCCTTTTGACATGTTAGAAATACAATCACATTCAGTGGTGTTTTGAAACTTCTCTTTTTTTTCTACCTATCTATGCTTTACCTTAAAATTCTACTTCTTCTATCAAGTGTTACTTGCCTTCTATTTAATCAGTCTTGTTTATCAAATATCTATTTTTTTTTAAGTTTTACTTTTTTGAGTATTAGAAAGTGAGGAAATTCAGTGAAATGTGAATACCTGTGCAGACATTCATTCATATATGGATTTATGAATCTGCACTAGTAATATCCCTGTTCTACAAGGGTCTCTTTATGTATGTGTGTGTCTGTGTGTATCTGTGTAAGAGTGGGAGTCACTTTTATGTATGTATCTTTGAAGCATTGTTTATTTGCATATTGTCAGTTGTTCCTCAGACTCAGGAGTGAAATTAACTTGTATCTTTTTTTCTCACTGTCTAGATCTTCTTTGACAGTTTCTTTTTCTTTGGTTCCTACAACAGATTATACTTTCAAGTAATCCCCTGAATTTCAGAAAGTCTTAATTTCTCCCTCCATAATATATAACAGTGGTCAGTATAATTGGCTGGAAAATTAGTCCTTTAATTTTCCAATGATGGTGATTATTATAGAATGTAGGCTTGTGTTGTGTTTGGATTAGAATGTTTTAGTGTATTTTACTTTGAGCAATGTGCAAAGAAAGATAGAGTGTTAAACTTTCTGATTTACAAACATACCTACTCCATGTGTAGATAGGTGATTTAGTTACCACAAGAGTGATGAGTTCATTTAAAATGTTCATTTAGTAAATAAAATTACTATGATAAACATATACTGGAATCAATTTTAATATAAAATTACTTTTATATAATAAAAATTGTTTACGTATTTCTGGGCATTCATGTTCTTTATAGTTAAAGGTTACATTCCTGTTTTATTAAATGATTAATTTGTAGTTTATATCTGAATATCTCATAGAAATTCTTAGATTTCATAGAAAAATTATTGAAGACAGAAACTATAATTAAATTTAAATAAAATATTTGACTGATATGGCTATAGCTTTTCTTTTCCTTATGCTCTTTGGGTGTTGGAATATATTTTCTAAATATATCTTTCTTGCCTTTACTGAGAGCATTCAGTCATGGCATATATAGTACTTTGCATGTAGTATTATAGAATTTGTGTCACTTAGATCTACTAAATAAATTCTATTTTTAGTTATATTTTGTCTTTTCACATTGTTCAAACTAGAATGAAAATTTGTGTATTAACAATTTTTCTACAGGTGCTAAGAGACTCTCATGGCGATTAATGAAAGATTTATGTAGTATGAATAGATTTGATATACTATATTACATTATATTATATCATTTGATTCTAGAGCTGTAAGAACCTTAGTTTCAATTTGTCCCATTCCTCTCTATTTGGTCTGGGGTTCATATAATAGGAAATACTGACTGAGAAATCAATGATTTGAGAAAACTTTTTAGAGGGATAATATTTTCAACACAAAGAATATATTTTCTTCTATATAATATTTTTAAGACTTCAAATAAAGAAAGCTCATCTTTAGCAAGAATTATCTATAGTAAGTGTCCACATTTCTGATAAAGAGAGTGATTCTCATTATTCTAATTTGTTTCCAGCTCAGGTCTTCCCCTTCCTGTAGCACCCTGGCCTCTTGTCTGGCGGCCACTTCCATGTGTGCTACACGACTCCACTCTTCTGTGGGCACCTTTCACTTTGCCTTAATCTTTTCTCAAACAATCCTTCTACCTCATCACATTAACTGACATTTTCCCTTTCTTGAGGATATTTCTCTTGCATCCCTTTCCCATGGGTCCTCAGCCGACTCCCACACCCATTGACTCGCTCCACACAGTGGCTCCCCCCACCATGTCTGGGCTACTTCCAAATGGATACTTTTTCAGTCCAGATTATTTTCTAACAGTAAAATAAGGCTTCGCAAAGATTATCTCACTTAGTTCCTCCACAACTTTACTCCTTAATGCTCCAAAGTAAGCATTGGGTGCTTACTTTGGGTGGCTTTTTTTCTATTTGATTTGGAGAAAACGCTCATGTATACTTTGACTTCTTAAAATATAATTTAAATTGTAATTTTTTCCATGGCTTAGTCAATTCTCAGTGTATATTAGAACATAATAGAGCATATTTTTTTCAATGCAAAGTCAATGCTAAAATCTAAATATCTATCATATCTGATTTTTTCAGTGTTAATATATTCATCATGTAATATTATATGACAGTCAAAAATTATGCATATTTATACCTGCTAATGTGGGATACTTTCAAATAATTCTTGAGTAAATATAGTTAAAATGGAATATTACATATTTTACCAGCCATTTTGAAAAAATTAAAAAAATTGATATTGCTTTTGCATAGAATATTTCTGAACTGTTACATAAAAACTGCTAATATACTTAAAAAGTACTGGGAGGCTTTTATTTTTTTATTTTCATTGTATTTATGTTTAATGAAAACATGTTGTAGCGACATTACTATTTTGGAGCATCGTTGTTTTATTTTTATAATTCATTTTGACGTGAATATTATTTCAACTTCCAACCAACTCTGATTTTCATAGTAATTTTGTGATATAGTTTTGTCAAAGCATTAATGGACATGGTTCAATACTGAACTATTGAATTTACTAGGAAGGCTTCAGTATACAGTCAAGTGCTGATAGATGTTAAAATTAAATTTTTAACTACTTTTCCTTGAGAAAAAACCAAAATATAACAATGAATGATGTGTGAAAGCACTAAGACCTCCCCCATACAAGGTATTCATTTCAGAGACCTGCAGTTAGTTGAGATAAATAATGCCACCAAATTTTGAAGAAATGAATGTCAGGTGAATATATACTCCATTTGAGGATGATAGAGGTTTTTCTTTTTTTTATGGTGGATTATAATATTCATCAAGTTCATTCCAGAGGAATTATGCCAAGCACATCAATAGGATAAATTGAGTCTATTATTCATTATAAGAGCAAACTGATTAGTTTGGCTGTACTTCTTCTCCTGAAGGCACTTTTTAGGAGATGATTGATAAGATTATTTATGTGCACAGACATACTGCTTTAAATAATAGGAAAACCATGCAGATTGTTTCAATATTATGACAATCCTATAACATTGGGTGAAATCATCTTTGTGCTCATCAAAAGAGGTGCAATTCTTTTGTGATTATAGATGAAAATATTTCAAATATCTGTAGTCTATAAGGAGTGTTTAATTCATGAAGAAAAGCTATTTTAATTAAGATGATTTTAAAGACTGCATGCACAGCATTGAAGTCAAAAGTTCAAACAATTTCTTGATTTAAGATGAAAATGTTTTACTGAAATCCGTGTGGTCTTCATCTCCTAAAGTCCTTCTCTACCCATCCTGTCTCCATCATAAAACAAAATTGTCTTCTAAAAGGCATGTCAGTCCTTACTCTGTTCTTAGTTCTTTGTGATTGCAAATTGATTGTTGGATGGTTTGTACTCATCTTTCTGAGTATTGAAGTTCAGGAGACAGCTACTTAATTACAAGGGATTTCTTTTTCTCTTTTGATTAATACACAGATAATCCAATAACTCTTCTTCAATCCCCAGGAATTTATGACTTCCACAACTCTTAAACTAGTGAGTAGCTGTTAAATATCCTAGTAAAATTAATAATCTGCATGAATTCTACTTCGTCTTGACTTAGTTAATGTTTCATAATGCTTCTTTAGTAGTACAGTGTTTCTTCTTGAACTCCTATGATAAGATGCCCCCTTCTCAACATATTATAACTGAATTTTTAAGACTCAGATAAAAGTAAAAAACCTTAGAAATTACTGAGATTTTATATTTATCTATTATCAGTTTTCTTTTCACCCAGACAACGACATTTTTCTTGACCATAGTTTTTTTAACCTCAATTATTTTTTCTTTGACCCGTTATCTGTCTGGAAAGCCACTTCATCTTCGATCTTTCTTTTCCTTCCTGATCTTGGTGTATTCAATTAGATTTTATTTATCTTTTTTTTAAACACCTAGCCAAGTTTCCAGATGTTATAGACTACATTTTCAAAAACAATCAGGACTCAGAACTGTTTTGAATTTCATTAATGTAACGACTAGTCGCTTGTACAAAGGCAGCATGTTCTTCATGACTTAAACATCAGTCTTTTCTTATTTCTTTTTTTCCCTTGCAATTCCTACTTATTCAACCAGGGTTCATATATTGTTGAACTATACTTTTTCAATAATCATCACTGTTTTCATACCTATGGCCTGTCTTCTCTGGTTTAGAACTGAAGGGTGCTTAGAAAGCGTGATTAGGAGGCACCCCCACTCTTACCCCGCAGCAGCAATCTACTGTGGACCTTGAAATGCCCATTATTAATGGAATAATGTTCAACTAAATCATTTTCTCCCCAACCGTATAAGTAGTTTTGCCAAACTCCCATATTTATTTTGTGTCCCAGTAGAATAAATCCTCTCATTTGTGTTTTATCATAATGTCTAAATCCGTTATGACACCTATAATCCTTTGTACATTTATATGCCACACATCTTCTTTGTTCTTATCTACTGCAGTTTCTTTTATAACAGAGCTCCTGTATTATTTGAGAGGCCAAGACTGATGAATATCATTGAACACCTATCAATAACTTTTTAAGAGATAACAGGACTCTGAAGAAAAGTAATTTTTATTTTTTGTGTTAGTGAGAACTAAGAGATTTGGGGATTTGGAATGCGATTTAGTGAAAACACTTTGGTGGGTAATATGTGGGTCCAAAATGAAACTGAGTGCCTGAGAAGTGAGAAGAAAGGAGATGAATCAAAAAAAGTTGCTGACTCTAGAT